AACCCTGGCTGTCCCTCTCCCCAGCACACTTAACTCCTCCCCCATGGCAGCACACAAATGTCCTTGGTGTAAGGATACACAGATGAGTCCTTTTGCAACAGGCACTTGAGCAAAGGCTACCTCACTTTACTGAAGGACCTGCCAGAAAAAGTCACCATCACCATTGCACAAAAGGGAGAATACAGCTCAGGTACTTTGGGGCAATGGCGTTGGATTCTTTTGGATATAAGTCTCTCCCTCTCAGAGAAGCTGGTGGGCCAGGGGCAGAGGCAGCCAATTAGTGTGTGGGAGGAGGAAGAAGTTCAGTGGTGGGTAGGCTCACCAGATGCTGAGGTGAGCAGGTTTACAGGAATGTCTATCACCAGATGCTTGCGACTGTTCCTCTCTACCAGAGCAGGCCTTGGGTTAACAGGTGAGACAATCAAGCAAAGCAAGCAATGCCAGGCCTGGGCTTTCCTAGAGAAATCTTAGCGTGTGCACCCCAAGTGTGGCTGCAGGGCCTACGGGCCCTAGTGGCACTTGTATCTGGTCTGCTACAGACCATCAGCTAACACAGGACATAAGGCACAAATGATGCAAGTCAGACAATTGCTTAGGTAGTGAATTGTCAAATTCCCCACGTGAAGGAACAACATGGCTTATGCCCTGTGAGGAATGGGCCTCAGAAAAGAAGGAACTTTGGAGTGACATGGAAAATGAGAAGATTCTCTCGGTCTTGAGACCTGGCTGGCTTTTCAGAGCTTCTGCAGAAGTAGATACTCAAAGTGGGAGCCTGGGGAAGCCAAGAACTAAAAGAACAGATTGGACCTCGAGGCCAGAGAACCAGGGATAGCCTGGAGTTCCCAACATCTGGCTGCATGAAGCACACACCAACACGCAGTTATGTAAACAATGATGTAGCACCAGTACATGAGTACAGACCTATGGGGCTCTGATGGTTGCCATCCAGCTCCTTGGACCTAAAGATATCACCCTTACTGAGCATGTACCTCCAATATCTGCCATAGCCCTCCAAACCTGTGCCCCGAGTCCATTGCTGGACCCTGCTTATCCAGACCCTCTGTTCATCCTCAGCCTCCTCCTGGCTGGAGGTTGAGCAGGAACAGCTCTATCAGGATATAATCGTTTTTAATTAACGTGCGGATCATTTCACAGGCTGATCTCCTTGGAGACCACAAGGAAGACAGTCTTCTAAGATTTTCATTCCTTTTGCTCTCCCAGTGCACCCCTCCCAGCAAAAGACCATATTTCACTTTTACCTACCATCTACAACCTTGATAACTGACGAAAACCTGGCTCCTGGGTCCCCTCAAGGCCTTCAGGAGGAAGTATGTGCTCACAACCATACACATACACAATCATGCATCCCACCCCGACACATACCTTTGGAAATGTGCACACACCCACAAAGGACACACAGGCATGTGTATCCAGACAGGAATATGCATGTGGAGGCAGAAAGGTCACAAGGTGGAGGCCAGCATGGTTTAAATAGTGAGATCCCTGTCTCAAAACATAAACAAGGGGGAGGAGTATTAGAGGTACACACACTGGCATACCCCAAAACACGACAAACAGATGAGCACTCACCTGCACAGACATACCACACAAATCTCCACATGTCCATATTCAGCACAGTTTCAACATGCATGGCTGAAGTGCTGGTAGGGAAGAGACAAAAAGGGCCCTATCCTTGGATGGGGAATCAGAAACCACAGTTGTCTGCTATAAGGGTCTCTAGGATTGGGTGTAACACGTTTGGGGTCAGAAGGACTTAAACCAAGGTTCAGGCAGGTGGCTTCTCTGTCCCATTCCCTACGGAGAAGGTGACAGAGCAGCACTCAGCTCTCAAGGTACCCAGCACTAGCTGACCTGGCATTTCCATTGGGACTAACCTTTCCTCTGGGTACCTGACCCTAAGGCCTATAGAATTTTCTCTTTACTTCCTTCATTTGACCTAAATCTTTTTTTTTTATCTTATTTCTCTTTTTTTCTTCCTCCATTCTCTTCTACCCAAGCTCCCTTCACATTTTGGAATCACTATTTCATCTGTTTCTTTTCCTCCCTTTCATCCCAGGCATCTAGAATCAACCTCAGTCAGAAGAATTCTAAATGGACTTACTAGTAACCCTTTCCGACACAGTACATCTGATAGGTGCTTATACTTCTCCAGCTCCTAACAGACCACAGCTGGATCTCTGAACTTGGAACCTGAGACAGAGGCAGGAAAATGACCACATGGGGCCTGAACTCAGCCCCACCCCTCTTGAAGCACCTGCTTTTGACCCTCAGCCCTTCCCTTTGGAAAACAAGATGGAAAAGGGCAATAAAAGCTGTGGGAAGGGTTAACAGGGAGCCTGTGGCCAGCCAACCTCAGGCTGGTGACTTGGGTAGTAGCCCTGGACCGACCCACCAGCACAGCAGTGTACATAACACAGATGGGTTAGAAGTCTATTTGCTACTGATCCAGCTAAAGACAGCAGGGGCAAGCTGAATGTGTCTCCTTATCTGGTCTCTCATCCATGAAATGGGCAAGCTCAACTTAGGATCTTCCCAGATGCAATCATCTAAATACAAGATCAGTAGCAGGTTCTTGATGTGTGACCTTGGGACTTACTTCCCCTCTGGGCTCTGGTTTCCCCTTCTGTCAAAATAGGGAGGTCAGACCAGTGACTCATTGCCAGGGTTCTTTTCAACACTAGAAGTTTCTAGATAGTAGGAAAGGAAGAACAATGTCCTACTTAGCCTAAGAAAGCTAGAGAAGCCTGTTTCTTCCACTGCAGGCATGCCGGGGAGTCTTTCACGGTGGTGGCAACAGCAGCAGTGGCATTTTAAGGAAATCACCTTAAACATCAGAAAAGCTCTCTACACAAAATATACCCAACTATACCACTTTGTTCCAGTATATGGAACAAAGGGCAGTATTAAGCAAATTATAGCAAATCCACTTGACTAAAAAAGCCTGAAGATGTTAACATTGGTGTTCATGAAAGAACTGGTTACAAGACAGGAAAAGGCTGGTGTTGTCAGCCAAAAAAGGAAAAAAAAAAAAAAAAGGCAGGATATACATCCTAAATGTGGACAACTCAACCAAGCCTTTAAAAATCACCAGCCACCAAAGCCAACATGTGGGAAGACTCATACCAACATGTGAACACTGTCAGAGCCCATTAACACTCAATAATCTGTTTTTCTCTATTTTTCAGGGTATTTTGCAAACTGTTAAAACATATATGTCAAAAATACCTTTAAAAATGACCTGCTGTTTCCAATCCCCTTTCACTCACTCACTGATTCACTCATTAATCATTCACTTCTGTGTTTGTCTAGTCAAATTCCAAACAATATTGTCTGCAGTGTGCCTGGCTCTGAGGTTCTATGAGACTAGCTTTTGCCTACAGGAAATGGAGGTCATGTCCAGGGCAGGGTAGATAGTTCCTCCTGTGCTGTATTCCCAACCCTCCTTCATCACACACAGCTTTCCAAGGTGCTTGTGCTCTTGGGTTGAAGAGTAGGTAGCAACAAACCTGGTAAAACGAAATCTTGTTTCCCAGAGTTGGCATCTCCAGGCTGTGTCAACTGCTAAATGTCACAGTCTACCCTGGGGGTCAGAAAGTCACTCTAAAAGACCCAGGCCTTCAGTTGTCCGGGTGAAGGTATGTGTGGGTTTTCTCCCTAAACCCAGCCCCCATGATGACATCCCTCACAGTTTCTATGACCCAGGCTTGTAACCTCTTTCCCTTGGCTGCCTGACCCTCTCCTAGCTCTGACTGCAGCTGCATGAACAGGGAGTGTAGGGTCTGGATCTGCAGTTCCAGCCAGGCATTATCATGCTGTTAGCATAGAGAGGTTAACAACATTTCTCTGTTGTTTAGAGATTGACAAATTTATGGGGGAAGGTTAACTCTCTGGGTTCCTGGACCCAACCACAGAGCAGTCTAAAGACAATCCAGTCCCCTAACTCCAAAGGTACCTGCTTGATCCCCTCAAGAGCCCCGTCTCTAGGGAGAGAGGTAAACAGCTGGCCTATGGTATCTGGACCCCAGCTCCTTTGCCCCTGATCTGCTCAACTAGGAATCTATCAAAGCTGAGGTTTATAATGTCCACCTAGCCTCACACCCATTCACAAACCCAAAAGTGAAAAGATCTGAAAGCTTAGAGTGCCAAGGCTCTAACCCAGAGGTTCCCCCTTGAAGCTGAGCCCTCCCCCTTTCTGGACTGCAGTCCCCAGGAATTCTCCAGGATAGACCTCCATTCCCATGGTGCTAGTGTGGAAAGGAACTGTTCCTACCACCCCCTACCCCCTCAGCAGCCCTTCACCCCATTCCAACCCAGGAAGAGGTGGAGGCATCAGGGCTCTGGGTCACCAGAGCAGTGATATCTGCTGTGGATTTCAGGAAGCCAAGCACTTCGTCACACAAACACACCACCTCCGGGATCACCTCTCAGCCTGCATTGTACAGGAGGGGAGGAGGCTGAGGCTAGAGCGGGCCTTCTACGTGCCTAAAGGCATCGGCCAATCATCAAGCCCAGGCGGGCAGACTCCACAACCCAGCCAGCGCACCCCAACTCTCCCTGCTGGGCACCCCTACTTGTCTCCTCTCTAAATCATCCAGTGGTAACCTTTCTATCCCAAATAAGGAAAAAAGGGAGAGTCCCTTCCTCTGCCTAGGGCCCAGGGGTCAGTAGTCAAAGGAGAGGCTGAGTCATGACCCCTGCCCCTCACCGCAAAGGCATGAGATTTTATTGTCAGGCTGGCCACTCAGCTGTTTTGGCAGGCGGGTGCAGGACAGAGGGCACTCTACAGGGAATGAAGAGGGGTATTCTAGGGGAAGTGTTTGAAGCCGATCAGTCCACCAGATCCGGAAGCTGTCGGGAAGGGGGGGGCAACCTTAAACGCTCCAAGGCTGAGAGGAGGGGCCCGCAGTAGCGCCCACAGGCGCCAGGGAACTGTCCCCCGGGAGACGGCACTCTCGGGAAGTTTCTCACTGGTTGCTCACAGTAGGTCCGGTGCTCGAAACGCCCTCCCAGGCCAGACCAGCTTCCGGACACAGATTGCGAACTTGAGATGAACTCCTTCCTTCTCCAGCATCCCCATCTGCGGCCACCCGCCGCGACATCTCAGCCCCAATTCTTCCACGGGTAGCTCGGTCGCCGAGACCGCTCACCAAGGCATTGTGGAGCAAAAGGGAGGGGAGAATCCCCATCACAACCTAACTGCTGCGGCCATTAAAAAAAAAAAAAAGAAGAAAGAAAGGAAAGAAGAGAAATTCCTTCTCCTAGACTGCTCCCCTCCACCCACATGGAAAACCTCCAAACACGCAAACCCGCAACTCCAACAAGGATTGCAGTGGGAGGGGTACCCGCGGCGACCCCCATCAGCAACCAGGCTTCACTGCAGGTCAGAGTGCTGCGACGGGCCAGGATTCAGGGAGCCCTCGCCCGGAGCAGCCCGCCTAAGACACAAAGCTCCGCCGCCAACAATACCTGCGGGCTCCTCCTGGGTCTCCGGGCGCCGGCGCGGCGCGTCTCGTAGTCTCCCTTTTCTCCTGCCGTCTCTCTGCTATGGTGCGCTCTCCCCCTCGCCTCTTCCAGTACCCGACAGCCAGATGAGATCCTTGGGAGAAAAAAATGTGAGCGCTCACACGATTCCTTTCTCTGCGCGCCGCAAGCGGTGGCGCTGGGCTCGCTCCTCTTTTTCGCGCTCCCGTGCGCGCCGCGCCTCTCTAGCCCCTTGCTTCCTGCTCAGCAGCGCCTGCGAGTGCCCTCAGTAGCCATTATTCACCGGCCGCCGGGGGACAGGAGGTAATTAGAGACAGCCTTGTGGCCACATCCACTGGGCTAGCACGATGCGGGCGAAGGGCGCGCGCGGGGAGGGGCACGCGACAAGGGGGCTTGGCTGCGCGCAGCCCGCGCCCCAGACACGGAGGAGGGGAGAGGGAGGGGGCAGGGAGGAGGAGTGGTAAGATGGGCGCAAGCGAAGGAGGGGGCGCAGCGGAGAAGCTCCCGCAGCTTGGCTCTCACCGCTAAGGCCAGGTCATGGCTGCGAGGTTTCTAGGCGCCTAAAGACCGAGTGGGGGCAGGGAGGGAAGTGGGTGCTGTGCTTGCGTGCGTGTGTGTGCGTGTGTGTGTGTGTGTGTGCGCGCGTGTGAGAGAGCGCGCGCACGCGCGCGTACCAAAGCTAGACGGGAGGGAATGCTTTAATATTTTTTTTCCAGTGACTTACGAGCCCACGGGTGAGCCCTTGGCTGTGCGTTCAGGACCGTGTATCAATGTGGCTATAAATTTCTGTTCTGCCCTACGTGTGAATGTCACGGGTTGGGAATGGGGGGGTGGGATTAGCTAGAAACCAGCCTCTGAACATGCCGGTGGGTCTTGGAGGAACTGAGTGATGCAGTGGTTGCATGGGGGTGGTGTTTGTGTGCGATTGTTTATAGGTGGTAGTGTGACTGTGTGGGCGGGGCTGCCTGCGTGGGCTGTGTTCCGAGGGCGTTGTGTATTCGTGTGGGCTTGTTTGCGACAGGGCTAGATGCTATGTAAGGCCACGGGACTGAAAAAGTACGGACATTGCGCCTGTGCGTGCTCTGGCCACACGCAGGGATCTTAGGCTGCCTGTGATCGTGTAGGGTCTGAAGCCTGGCAGGCAGAAGCTGGCCCTGAAGGATCCCACAGAGACAGAATAGCTGTTGAAGGTGCGAACAAGTAGTGCTGCGGTTGGGGCACAAAACGACTGTGTGGGGGTGGGGCTATAGGTGTAGACAGGTAGAGGGGAACCTTTATGAGAGCTTCCTTTCATTACACCAGAGATGCACCGCGAAGATCCTGGCATTTCCCGACCCCATGGACCTAGAGGTTCAAGATTTGGGGGCCGGGGGGAGGTGACACTGGGTGAGCCTAGGGTATCCTGGGGGCAAGCGGCAGGCAAAAGAAGTAGTTCCTGAAGATAGCCAGAGAATAAGATGAGACAAAGACGACTGGGACTTTAGAGGCTGGACCTCAGAGGAGGGCCTGCCACCATACTAAAGGCAGACCCTTGGAACATAATGGAAGTGCAGCACTTAATTTCGGACTGAGTTTTGCTAGCCAGCCCTTTCCCAAGCCACTCCGCGCCCACACAGCTACCCCCACCCCCACAATATCCATCTATACATCCATTCAAGTATCCAACCAGGTTTTCCAAGCTAGTATTACCCGGATCCCACTACCCCACACCTCTTCCTGCTCAGGAGACACCTATCTCCTCTGTGGAAAGGAGCTACCTTTTCTACATTTGGGGTCAGCAGTTCACATTACTAAACCCCACCCTGCACATACTTAAGTCTCCATACAACTTCACCCTGCAACCTGGTGAAGCCTAGAAAGGAGTGTTTGACACCATTGTTGTGCCTCCTGGTCCTTATCCTGAAAGTCACCCCAAGCCTGCCATTGGAATGGGAAGATGTTAAAAAAATGGATTCCAAGTTGGGTATAAGGGGACTGACTTGAATCCCAGCATTTGGGGGATGCAGGCAGGAATTCAAGGCCATCTGCTATATTGCAAATTTGAGTCAGGCTGAGATACTTGAAACTCACTCTCAGACAAAAAGAAGCAACAAACCAGATTTCTTTATCAAGTGAATGTCCAGAAACCTTGTACAGGTTGGGCACTTTACTGGGAATCAGCATTTCTGAGTTTCCTCTGGCTCTTCTATGCAATAAGGGACCTCCTTTGTCTTGAAGAGCAGAACACTGCCAAGGATGAAACTTAAAGGATAAGGTCCAATATCTCCACCTTTGAAACGCAGGGGTATTTAGTATTAGTCTTCAGTGACCTGACCTAGGAACCTGAGTCACTCAGTCCTGAGGTGCTATGAGAACCAGTAGGCTTTCTGGTTCTCTGGTGATAACAACAGCACTTCCTGACTTACCGACCTTCTCTATTTAATCATTTACTGGAAGATGTGCATAGAGATGATAATATGGACCCTGCTGGAAGGTGAGGCTGACATTCTTCCCTACCTCTTAAATTTTGTTTTTGCAATTAAAAAACAATTTAAGGGGAGACTGGAGAGATGACTCAGTGGTTAAGAGCACTGGCTGCTCTTCCAGAAGACCTAGGTTCAATTCCCAGTGCCTACTTGGCAGCCCACACCTGTCTGTAACAGTTTCAGGGAATCTGACACCCTCACACCAATGCACATAAAATAAAAAATTAAATAAGTAAAACAATTTAAGGGAGGAGGGGATAGGCAAAATGGCCCAGTGGTTACAAGCACTATTGCTCTTCCAGAGGACAGGGTGGGGCTGGGGTGCTCAATTTCAAGCACCCACATGAAGGCTCATGACCCTCTGTAACTCCAGTTCCAAGGGTTCAGACACCCTCTTCTGGCCTCTTCGGAGTATCAGGCATCCATGTGGTACACATATATACACACAGGCAAAAACCTCATACACATAAAATAAAAAATATGAAATTTAGATTTTATTTTATGCATATGGGTGTTTTGCCTGCATGTATGTCTATGCACCATGAGTATGCCTGGTGCCTGTGCAGGTAAGAAGAAGGTGTAGAATCCCCTGGAACTGGAGTTATAGATGGTCTCAAGCCACCATGTGTGTGCTAGAAACCAAATCCAGGTCCTCTGGCTGAGTCACCTCTCCAGTCCCCCTCCCCACTAGCCTGACTCTTCATTGTTCCATGGCTGACGGTACCTTCACACAGGCCCTTATGAATTTCCTGATGTCATATCCTAATACTCTGCCTGGAACACTTTCCCTCTTCTAAGTGGAATGTAATTTTCCTGTTTATTTGTTTTTTAGGTGACTTTCCTGGTTGTTCCTTGGTGTGTCCTCCATTGCTAGGTTGATGCCTGGTACAGATTCTGTAAGTATTTGGTGATGAATGATGGTGAATAAATGAGGTTAAATCAGTCCTTCCATCTGTGACCTTGATTCAGCCCATAGTTTCTCTATGAACTGATAGCCACTTAGACTAGGGGCCAGGGGGACTTGGAGTTCAGTCAGGCTACATAACTCACCTAGCCATAAGTACTCTTTAAGATTCCTGAGGGTCTAAAGGAATGAGGTAGTGGTCAATGGCTTGTCCCCAAGAAAAGGGGAGTACTTACTTGTTCTGGGCCCTCTCTTTGCTCAGTGGAGCTCCCAACTAGAAAGGTCAAGAGAGGCTGTGTTCACTTCTGCCCAGTGCAGTATCTGGTGTGTGGTATTTACAAAGTGAAAATAAAGACTCACATTTAAAACTGCATGAGGGCTGGGCCATGGTAGTGCATGTTTTTAATCCTAGCATTTGGGAGGCAGAGGCAGGTGAATCCCTGAGTTTGAGGACAGCCTGGTGATCTACAGAGTAAGTTCCAGGACAGCCAGGGAGGGCTACCCAGAGACACTTAGTTGGGGCGGGGCTGTGGGGGGCAAAACAATCCCCCCCAAAAAACAAAAAACTGCATGAGTCCAGCCTCTGGCTTGTTCCCTAAGACTCTGCTGGCAGGGTTCTATGTGGTGGCAGGCAGCACTGACCTGTAGCATGAATCAGTTGGTTGCATGACAGGAGGATTTACAGAATTCCCAGCCTCAGACTTCACCTCCCACTAGGTTCGTCCTGCCTGGGGACAGCAGAGTGGTGGACCCTACTGAATTGGGAAGAGTTTTATGGGTGTTTCCTATTAGGTGTGGTTCCTGGAGCAGGCTGACCAGCCAGCCTCATAGTTGCCTATGGCTATCTGAACAGCTGCTTTGTTGCACACTGAGAGGAAAGTTAGAGAGCAGTAGGAAGGCTGGAGACTTAAGTAGGAACACAGGGAAGTCTGAGGCAGTGGGGTGGGGTGGGTGGTCATGACACAAAGGACAAGACCACCAGGGTCAGGGTTAGCTAGGGAGCATTTAGGCAGACACAAGAGAAGGACATGGACCCACCCAACCAAGGTAAGTAGGTGTTATGAGATTCAGAAGTCAAGTTCAACAGCCCTGGGCTGATACCTTCAGGCTAAAAGTCTGCAAGACTGGGCTCAGAAGTCAGCAGTGTGTTTTACTGTTTGCTTTGCAGGAGTTTTACATGTATTTTACATATATTTGGGAGAGAGGCAGCAATTTCAAATCTCTTTATAGTCTCTCCATTTTAGAGAGTGGGTCACTAACATCCAAACGATGCCCTTACAACTTCCAGGTGCTAAGTACCTACTGTGTGCAAGGATCTGCTCTCTGTGCTGAGGATCTAAGCAAGAACTGAGACAATGATTGTATTTTCCTCCTGAGGCAGGCATGGAACAGAATGAAGAAGTAATTGATATACAATCAACATTGTTCATTCTGAGAAATACATCAGGCAATTTCATTGTTCCATCATAGTGTCCTTACACAAACTCGGACACATCTTCACATCACACTAAGAGACAATCTTAGGAATCTCTGTGGAACATGCAGTCTGTTATTGACTGAAATGTTAAGTGGTGCCTGACTATAGTCATGCTCCCCCCCCCCGGGTTTCTCTGTATAGCCCTGGCTGTCCTGGAACCCACTCTGTAGACCAAGCCTGGCTCTGAACTCAAAGATCCACCTGCATCTGTACCCCATTCCCTGCCCCCTATGCTGGGATTAAAGGCAGGTGCCACCCCCACCCAACTGGTTATGTTACCCTTAGTGTGCTAAGAAAATATAGAGCCAGGGAAGGTGGATGAGAGCATGGGGTGAGGGCTGTTTTTATACGGAATGGCAGGGAACTTAAGGTTCAAAACATAACTGGAAAGGCTATGTGGCGAACATTCAGATAACCAGAGGAAAGCTGCAGGTGAGATAGTAAGCAATGGTCCTGAGGCAAGAGAGCTTGTGGCTATACTTGAGTGTGTCAAAAAGGGACAAGGCCACACCCAAAGGATACAATATACCATTGTAAAGATATTCTGTTTTACAGTGAACACAATTGGGGGAATCTTTCAAGTGTTTCAAGCATAGGAAGGACGACCCATGGCTGCCATGAAGAGACTGAGTGTGGGGCCACAGCAGGAGAGTAGGGTAGTCTGAAGGTAGGGCTAATGGGACTGGCTGAGCAGCTAACAAAGAGCTTCTGTGATCTGCTGTCTGAGCTGAGAATCTAGAGCAGCTTCACACCTGGGCATGGGGAACCCATCCTTCAAGATGCCCCTCCCACCTGTCAAATCACCTTCATGCCATCTAGTAACTTCATCATGCCAAAGACATCTCTTATTCACTGACTGTCCTATGAATGAATGGTCTTCTACCTGGGTCCAACATGGGCAACCTGTTACCTCTGAGCTTTAATGTCATTTTATGAGCATATCAACCCGGGCCAGCTGTCAGACCTCCCTCCTTGTGGTTCTGATTTGTTCTCAAACCAACCAAGCTAATCTACTGCCCTATCTCTGCTTTACCATTTCCCGTGGAATATACTTGGTGTGCCAGATATGGTTAAAAGGCTAGGGAGACAACTGGTGAGCAACCAGATAATCCTTCCTGCATGGGGTGATGTAAGCATTCACTGCCAGCCTGTGCCTTACTATCCACATTAGAACCCTGTGCAGAATAGCACTCCCTTAGGGAAGGAGAACACAGAGAACATGTTTCTCTTCAAAAGCAAGTAACTATATCTCAACTGGTGGTGATGCCACTGGGAATGGGGGCATCCCAATTCCTAGTTTGTGGGACATTTTCCAACAGTCCATGTGGTCCCCAGTGCACCTTCCTCCCCAAATCCCACAGGCTGATAGTGAGGATCAGAAAACCAGCTGGGTGCCAAGGGTTGGTGCTGGCAAAACCAAGGTAGAAGGCTGCCCAGATGACCACTGCTCCCACTTAGGGACAGAAATGCATCTCTGCCTCTGCCCTAGGCTGTCTCTGATGTAAATGAAAAAGCAGGTATCAGCCTAGAGCAGGCACTCTCCAGAAGTCTTCCTTCTCAGCTGATTCTGATTTCCTCCATCTGTGGCTTTCCCTACCATCTGTCAGTCTGTTTAACCTTCCTCACTAACCTGTGGAGGTCACCAGGAGCAGCCAGTGCCACTCTAGGCTCATACAGGGCAGATCCTAAAACAAAGCCTCTTGAGCTAACCCAGAGGGCTTGTTTAGCTGCAGCTAAAGCATCACGTCTGAACCCAAGTCGCCTCCTGGTGATCTACGCTCATCTCTCCATTTCTCTCCATTTAGGGTCTTGGCAGTGCTTCCAGGGTGCAGGTGCATTAACTTTTTTTCTATCACAGGCCTGAGTGAACTTCTAGAATTCTCCAAACTTATTTGGTTCATACTAGTGGCTACAGAGGCCCAGAGGTAAAGGAGAAAGCTACCTGGGCTGTCACCCATGGCTAGATCTAGAAGACAGCCTTACCAGGGCACATATACTTTTACCACAGCTGGAACCCAAACCTGGGGATGTATAGAGAATTCAGAAGGGGTTACTGTATAGGTAAGACAGAAAAGACCCTGCCCAACCCTTGAGGTCTCCACTATGGCACTTATGCCATGGTTCTGTCACCCCTTCCCTCTCTGTTCCCCACCTTCCTCTATCTTTCATTGGCTCTTACTCTTACTTTCCTCCCTTCCTCCCTCCCTCCCTCCCTCCCTTCCTTCCTTCCTCCCTCCCTCCCTCCCTTCCCTGATCTTCCTTTCCAGTTGTCCAAACCTATTTTTGCCCTCATAGCCTAAAGAGCTTCTTCCTTCTCTAGGCCTCACCTGCAGGCACTGACCCCTAAATAATAAGTTTGGAGGCTTCCAGAAGAAAAGCTGAGTGCCTGTATCAGAGAGGCACTGTCAGAAACCAGCATGTGTACACAACTGGGTTAGGTTAGGCTGGGTTGCCACAATAACTGCCCTTCACCTAGATGTCACTCAACCCAGGTGCCCAAGAATGGGAACAATAATAATGCCTACCTCTGCCTGTCCTTCAGGGCTCAGGGAACTGAGGAAAGCACCAAGTCTGGAATGGTGGGCCAAGTCCTGGCCATGCCTTTTGAGACCTGACCACAGTCACAGACTTTTTTTTTCCTGTAGGGAGAAGACTTGGAAAGAACTAAAGAGATGGTATAGGTAAACTCATCCCAGAGGGCTAGAGAGAGGCCTAGGCCCAGCCATGTCAAACAGTAACAGGCTACAAGTAGAAGCCTCAGAGGTGGAGACACTCTGATACACAGATATAGGTACAGGAGTCTACCTAGATACGGCACATCAAAACAAAGCAGCAACATGGTGTGGTGACACACCAGTGTAATTTCAGCACCTGGGAGACCAAGGCAGGAGGACTGCTACATAGTTGAGGCCAGCCTGGGCTATAAAGTTAGCCTATCAAAAAAAAAAAAACAAAATAAATATGTGCACATTCAGGACATATGGACGACTCTAGTGTAAGGAAGGTGTACCTGTATATATACACAGGTGTCAACCATCTGCCTTCACATTGCCACTCCCAGGATCAGTTCCTTGACTTTTGGGTCTCTCTGGATAGCTCAGGACCTAGAGCCTCCTTTGATGTGTGGCAACAGGAATGCTACCCATGGACTTCTCCTGGCCCTAGGGCAGTAAAGACTTTGGGAGATTGGAAGGACAAGGACACAGGGAAGAACCCCCATAGAGCCTGCTTCTGGGGACTAAGACCAGAGAGCTACCTGAACCTGCAGAGATTTAATTACCTCTAGGAAGGGAAGATGGGCATTCTGATCAAAACTAACCCTGGTGTGGCCTGTCATCTCAGCCTTCAGAAGGCAGAGGCAGGAGGATTGTCAGTTCCAGGCCAGTGTAGGCTATACTCCAAGGCTATGTTGGAAAGAGCCAAACAACAAACACAGAAACTGGACTCTTCATTTAGCATGCTCAAAGCCCTCAGTTCAGTTCCCAGTACCGTAAAAAGAATCTGTCCCTGGAAGGTCAGACAGAGTTCCAGAAGAGGACTTTTATAGTTAGCTATGTGAAT